TGTAGTGAAACACTTCAATGTAATGATTTATGTATCTAACACTGTCAACTGGACGAAATGTATGTACCTACCCTGTTCAACTAAATAAAAACTATATATGGAAAAAAAAAATGTGATACGCATCTAAAAACTGCGCACTGAGGGAGGCGCAGATATTTAGGAAAGTAAACAGCATAATAAATGGAGTGACATAAATTCAGAACCAAAATGTATAGAGAGACAAATGAGAGCACCACACTTCAGATGCCGCCGGAAGATCTCATATCATATAAGCATGACAAACTGTGCCTTAAAGGGACACAATAGTCACCAGAACAACTACAGCTTAATGTAGTTGTTCTATTGAGTAAAATCATTGCCTTCAGGCATTTTCATGCAAACACTGCCTTGGGACACCTCCAAGTGGCCACTCGATTCAATGCATCTCTATGCAGAGGTGCTGATTGGCCAAAATGACGTTTGGCCCTGCCCCATCCTGCTTCCTTGCTGATTTTAGCCAATTCAAAAGTTGGCAATTCTGATGATGTCATCAAGGAGGCGGATCGGGGGCATGGACAGCTCCCACAGACCCATGCAGCGCTGGAAATAAGGTGAGTTTTATTACTTTTTAAGGTGGCTAAGTGGGGGCAAGCCACCTAAATGGTGAGTTTAGCACTATAGTGTCAGGAATACATGTTTGTGTTCCTGACTCTGTAGTGTTCCTTTAACATCTACAGGGTGGACTAAAATTCAGAATATGATTTGACAGAAAAGTAACTTAATTGTTAGTAGTTCAAACCTCCTGAGACAACTGTTCAGCGAGAGGATCATTTCAATAAATTCCCACATTAATTGACCGCCATGTTCGTCCGACCTTTAAGCTCTTCATTACTTCCTGTGGGGATATCTGAAGGAGTGAGTGTATGTGAACAAACTGTGTACACTTGAGCAGGTCAAGAAAAATATCCATGCAGAAATTCTAGAGCTAGAGCCTCAAACATTAAAGGGACTCTCCAGTGCCAGGAAAACAATTTGTTTTACTGGCACTGCAGGTCCCCTCTCCCTCCCATCTCCCAATCCCTGGTTGCTGAAGGGGTGAAAGCCCCTTCTCTCACTTACCAGAGGCAGCGACATGCAGGGCCGGACTTGGAATGAAAAGCAGCCCTGGAAAAAAATTCCATACCAGCCCCGTAAATCATCGCGCCAGCATAGTGCGCCAGCATAGTGCGCAGATATGGAAGCAGGAAAAAACCTGAAAACTAGCACTCAAACATGAAAGAAAGCACTTATAGGGCTTCAAAATAAAGCAGAGCAGATTTATTGTAAGCAGACGCAGACGTGCATTTGCATATAATCCACTAGCCCCCACATGTGTCCCATTAGCCCTCTCTCCCAGTCCTCCATGTGTCCCTATGCCCCCTCTCAACCTTCCATGTGTCTAGGGTGACCAGATTTTGAAAATATAAAAATTGGACACCCATTAGCGATACAAAAATCGCAAAAAAAACCCAAAACAAAACAGAGAAATACATAAGTTTTTAATCTCTTCTTGGCCAGAAGTGGCTGTTACAGCTCATCCCCTTCCTGGTACTCAAATGAGTGTCTTTTCATTTACATTTTGTAGGAGCATGATCATCAGAGCACACACATACCCTAGACCAGGGCCATCGTAACAGCATAATAGTCCACTGGGCAAACCAATGCACTGGGGCCCTGACTACGCAACAACCACTCAAAGAAATAAAAATATAAATTATCAATAAAATTAGGCTTATATTTATTGGTTAAAGAGAAAATTAATTTTCCTACTGTCCTGACCAGCAAAAAAACACTGGGAACAGGGGCAGGAAAAAGATGGGTCAGGACGGTGGTATCAGCTCCACCTCAATGTGGGCTTGTACCCAGAAATAATATATAGATAATAGGAAAGACTAAATATGGAGGGCTCCCACAGGGAGGTCCCTCCAATTGCTGATAAATGATGGATACACCAAAAATACAATATCTCTTGGAAATAACTGAAGTAGTATATAGACAAATAAGCAGTAAACGATCCAGATCTAAATAGATCTATGAATATCTTGTGGCAAAAACTAATAAATAAGAGGAAAAAAAAAATCTTTATTAACGAAATAATGCCCCAAGATAACTAAAAAAATCTATATCCAGTAACTAAGTGGGATGCAAACTAAATCCCCTCACTTTTATCCACTAGTAAGAGGGGGTAGGTATATAGCAATCCCAAATCATCAAAGGAGGCAGCAACTCCTAACGCAGAGTAGTAGGAGAAGGGAAACTGGTCAATTAGCGATCTAAAAGTCCAATAGGCTAAATATACTCTAGTTCAACAGAGCTGCTATAATGGACACCGCTAGACTAGTTCCCTATAAACTCCTTGAAACACCTTCATGGGTGTTCTGCGCTAAGTCTATGCTTGATATCGGTGTCTGCATCCGTCTACACTATAGTACTGGATACTGCTTAAGCTATATACTAAATAAAGCTACTCATTGCCAAAAAATAACAATAAAAAGTGAAAAACAAAAAATAAATTAGAATCCCCTCGGGTGCATAGTGCTAAGTGGGGTGAAGTGAGGTGAGGGGATGCAACGGCTGGGCGTTTCGGAACCGGGAGATCTGGGTGAACCACATATCCAAAATTCACGCAGATCCGTTCAGAAGTTTGGAAGATACGGTTTAATGTAGATTCCGCAGAACATATACAGGCTATATGAAAAATAATTACTGTTAAATGTGTCCCCTGTTCTGTAGTTTAAAACTACTGAACGATGTCTTTGTGCACCAAATACCGGCGAGATGGCACAGTGTAGAAAAGTCAAAACAGTGTCTGTGATTTAAAATGGCCGCCATCCATTGTTCTCACCATGTGCTTCATCCATTATTTTCACCATGTGCCTCTGATACATGAAATGGTGGCCACCCAGTAACTCCACAGTATGTCCCCAGATGGTTCTTAAAGGGTCAGCAGCATAATAAAATACAGTATGCCCAAATCAGTTCCTTAAAGGGCAATACATCCCAGGGCCATAGTCGCAGGGCAGGAGGCTGGCAAACAGGCCTCTCCAATGCCCAGTGGCAAATGGCAGTTTGTCACAATTACAATTGCAGGGTTAAATGTAGTGGGAGTTGGCACCCAGACCACTTCAATGGGCATAAAGAACCACTAAAGAACCACTATAGGCACCCAGACCACTTCAGCTCAATGCCCCCCTAGTTTTAACCTTGTAGCTGAAAACATAGCAGTTTCAGGAACACTGCTATGTTTACACTGCAGGGTTAAACAAGCCTCTAGTGGCTGTGTCCCTGACAGCCACTAGAGGCGCTTCCGCGATTTACACTGAGTGTCAAAAAAGATCCCCTTAGGAAAGCACGTGTTTGAATGCGTACGTGTCTCTGGTTGGCGCGGGGAGGATAGGTCACCAGCACCGAGGGAGCCTGGCGCTGGATTAACCCCTTCGGCACCCCAAGGGAGGGGGCACTCCAAGAGCCTATAGTGCCAGGAAAACAAGTTTGTTTTCCTGACACTATAGGATCTCTTTAACTAATGCTATGAACAATGCAATTGAAAGAGCCCGAATTTGCGAGATGGCAAATAGAGCTCATTTAAAAGATGTCATATTCCGTACCTAGTCAAAAAAAATCTCCATATGTTAGGCACCCAGACCACTTCACCTAATTGAAGTGTTCTGAGTGTAGTGTCCCTTTTACACTTAGTGCTGCTTAAATTAGTTTTTACTCATTTAAGAAATCTTCTGATAAATATATTTGACACAAATGGATGTAATGAAATAAACAATCTTTTTAGATCTGCAAGTGTAAACTTAATTTTTATTGTACACAGCTCCAAATACCTGTGCATTCAAACTGTGTTTTGACAATAATACATTCTTCTTGGCACTCTTTTCTTAACTCTTTTAATAAATGTGACGGACAAGAGTTGAGCAGATATAACATCTAGGGAGGGGACATTACATTCTAGGAAGTTGCTTGTAAATGTGAGGATAAGAGTTGAGCAGATATAATATCTTAGGAGGGGACAGAACATTCTAGGCAGTTGTGTGTGGATTAAATTTACAGTCCCCCTCTCCCCCAATATAACTAGGCAATCCTAAAAAAAACAGGACTGTTTCTGATAATGAGGTTTCAAATTGGAAACTCATCAACAGCAACCAAAAATGTAATAATTTCAAAATACCACAGACAATACAAAGACTTTACATTTTCTCTATAGAACGATAACCTCCTCCTATATACTACTGGATTAAATGTATAAAGATATGCCTAGAAGTGTATTTACTAAACTAGAAATTATGGGGAATTGAGGAAACTACACATTTTAGGTCAACATATCCAAAATGACAAAGTGTGTTCTCCTGTTCATTGGGAAAAAATGAGTGAAGAATTACTACAGTGTCTAAAAAGTAAATTCAAATGACTCTGTGCAGCTAAGGGGACCTAACTACTGCTACCTAGTATCAGTAAACAATGTACAGAATTTTAGAAAGACAAAAGGCCAAGAGTTGGATAGCATGTGCATCACAATGCAGTTAGTAATTACCTAAACTCTAATGTGTCTACTCCCACTTGTAATAATTGCATTGTAGCTTCTCATATGATACACAAGCTACTAACACCTGCAGGGCTTGTAATATTAGTGTGTAACTGCTGCATATACGTTCTGCACAGAATGAAGGACATGAAAGAATTTTATATGCATTTCTCCATCAGCAATTAGGAGATGTAATTTTTTTTTATATATATATATATATATCTGCGTCATTGTCACCTGTGCAGCTTAAAATACCAACATTTGTTTGCCATTTTATGCAGACAAATAAAAGTGACTGTAGGGTGTAAAGATATCTTAGAAGAACTTTTTTATATTGCAGCTTATTTGTCTAAATTACTGTAAAAACTTTGTTTTTAAGAACAGAAATTAGACTAATTTTCTATTGAACTGTTTTCAGCAGTTTGCTTTATGTCTGTGTTACTCTGCTAAGCAAGAATAAAGTCTCATTTTATGTTTCTCATTTTATATGTGTTTTAACCACATAATCCTAGTATTTTGGGTGTGCTGGAAAGAAATGCCTAAAGGAATACTATACTGTTAGGAATACAAACCTGTATTCCTAACAGTATAACTCCCCTGGTCCCACCTACCCTTCCTTGCAGCACCCGACCAATAAAGGGCTAAAACCCTTTATTTACTTACCGGATTCCATCGCAGATGTCCCCTGGTGCTATGTTGGTGCTCCGCCTCCTCAACGTAATCCGATGGTGGGATAGGGTGACCTAATGTGCATGCGCTGCAAGTGCATTAGGCCCTACCCATAGGAAATCATTGAGTCAATGCTTTCCTATGGAGTATTCACTGACACTGGATGTCCTCATGCAGAGCGTAAGGACATCCAGCTGTAGTTAGGCGATCAAAAGTCTCCTAGCAAGGCGGATGTGTGGTAAACAGCCACTAGAGACAGTCTTCATGCTGCAATGTAAACATAGCAGTTTCTCTTAAAATGCAATGTTTTATATTGCAAGACTAAAGGCAATAGTGACACTGTACCCAGACCACTTCAATGACCTGATGTGGTCTGGGTGACTTTAGTGTCCCTTAAATGTGTTTTTCATTTCACTATGAGCATTATTTAATGGAAACAAAAGACAACATTTTGTCTGTATGGAAAAAAAAAACTTTAAAAAAAATTGTTTACCAATTAATGAGGTTATAGAACGAAAAACAAAGTTGTAAATAAAAAACGTTTCTCAATATGTAACTTAGACTGTTTGTCTCACATGTGCTATAAGCCTCTCATTTATACATTGTACAATATGCACTCAGTTGTGTATGTGTGTGTGTGCGTATATATATAAACACTGCTTGGCCCAAAAAAAAGTTGCCACAAAAAAAATTGGTCACACACTCTATTTTGTTGTAACGCCTTTAGCTTTGATTATGGTACGCATTCACTGTGGCATTGTTTCGATAAGCTTCTGCAATGTCACAAGATTTATTTCCATCCAGTGTTGCATTTATTTTTCACCAAGATCTTGTATTGTTGATGGGAGAGTCGGACCACTGCGCAAAGCCTTCTTCAGCACATCCCAAAGAGTCTCAATGGGGTTAAGGTCTGGACTCTGTGGTGGCCAAACCATGTGTTAAAATAATATCTCATGCTCCAAGAACCACTCTTTCACAAATTTAGCCCAATGAATCCTGGCATTGCCATCTTGGAATATGCCTGTGCATATTCAGGGAAGAAAAAATCCATTGATGGAATAACCTGGTCATTCAGTATATTCAGGTAGTCAGCTGACCTTATTTGTTGGGTACATAATGTTGCTGAACCTAGACCTGACCAACTGTAGCAACCCCAGATCATAGCTCTGCCCCCAAAAGCTTGTACAGTAGGCACTAGGCATGATGAGTGCATCACTTCATATGCCCCTCCTCTTACCCTAATGCGCCCATCACGATGGTTCCCCACTATCCTTCCAGTTTTTAATAATGTGTTGGACAATTCTTAACCCAATTTTAGTAGTTTCTGCAATCTCCTCAGATATTTTCTCTGCTTGATGCATGCCAATATTTACCCTTCTCAAACAGACTAACATGTTTTCCACGACCACGGGATGTGTCTTTTGACATGGTTGTTTAAGAAATGAGAAGCTACTCATTGCATCAGTTGGTGTTAAATAACTTGTTGCCTGCTGAAAGATAATCGCTCATACAGTAACTATCCAATAGGAGGCTCTTACCTTTGCTTAGTTAAATCCAGGTGGCGACTTTTTTTTTAGCCAGGCAGTGTATATATTCCCTATGTATATATTGCTACATTAGCATTGTCAGGCCCCTGCCTCCACGCTGCTCGCGACTTTACTTGCCCCATCACCACGAGCTGTGTCCTCTGGTCCCTGTCTGCTACTTGCGGCTGTTCCTGCCTCTGCACTTCCGGACGGCAATATTTCTGACGCTGCATGCTCGCTTGTGTGCAGCGTCCTTATATGTGCACCCGACTCGGTTACATGACCCGGCGCACACTAATGATGTCAGAGATCACACTGGAAGGACTAAACACCTTCCACGTTTTGTAATCAATACTAAATGGAAATTAGCCAACCAGAAGCACCCTATGCATATATAAGCAAATCTCCCCCTTATCTCAGTGCCCTGTTGTGGTTTTTGACAGCCCAAGAGCACTTATACTGTGTCTGTTTATTTGGTTACCAAACTTTTGCTTGTCTCACATTTACTCTGTCTTCTTTGATCCTTGACCTTGGCTTGTCCTTTCATATTCCGTCTATCTCTCTGTTATCCTTGACCTTGGCTTGTACTCTGACTAGTCTATCTCTTTGCATAGCCCAGCCATTCTAAGGACTGGTATTGCAATTCTGTGTGTTTGTAACCTGTGTGCGTATTTAGGTTAACCTGAAAACCGTGACAACCATGATATTACCATATCACCCTCACATTTCAGCCCTGTTGCCACTTTGGACACACAATTACACACGTGCACACACACACTCTATGTGACAACATGAGTGTGTGTCTGAGGGAGGTTAGAGTTTGTCAGGAGGCTGTATTTCCCTGTGCAGCCTTCCCATACATTGCTGCTTGTTTTATTTTTAGATGAGCTGAGGTGCTTACCTCCCTCCACTCACCCCTTCAGCCACCCTCCATTTGCTCTGTGGGAGGGTGGCTGTCTCTCCAGTGTCTGTCAACAGCTGCTCCCCTGCTGTGCTTTACATGGAGAAGGGAGGATGAGCTGTCATATTTCATCCCCTGCTCTACATACAGGGTAGAACGAGCTGCTGGCTGCTTTCCCCCTACTCTAAAGTGTTGCTGCAGCTCGGACTGACCGTGTTTTGTCAGATTCAGTTTCTTATCGGAATCTGCTTCCCCTCAAAGCTCGCCAATCATCAGAACTCATCCTCCCTTAGGTTTTCTGTGTCTGAAAAGGCTGCTTGGCCTGCAAGGTTAGTAAAGTTAGTTACTTACTTAGCTTATAGTTAGGTGCTTCACTGCAGCACTGAAACATGGGACATTTAGGGTTAAGGTGAGGCTTAAAATTAGAGTTAGAATTATAGGTTTTTTTTGTTTGTTTTTTTACAGATTACTGACACTTAGGGAAATAAATAAATATACAATTATGTCTAGGGCTAATTTAATTTAAACCTCACTTCTAGGGTTACCGTTTGAAT